GTCTCTTTTAAAACTTATGAACTACAACCAATATTCGTCTATTGTACAACCTCAATTATCATGTAGAGCTCTTTCGTTAAGCTTATTAAGGCTTAAATCCGATCCAAAAAGTCTCAGTATATCCTTCAGACTTTGGGTTGTCCTCATCCATGAGAAGGAATCAGCCTGAAAAGGTCCCACACAAACAGAGGACATATTACGCTGTTTCTTCTTATTCCTGGTAATATGCAGGCTCTTTCAAGTCAGCTTCTGTTGTCTACAATGTCCAATATCAGTCCTGACACATCATAGGTTTAATAGTACTGTCGCTAATTTCTGTAATGGTTCCAGCCTGGAATACAGTCCCAATGAGGCAAGTTTTGATGAAGGGTAACATTATTCCTCGAAAGCTCCACTAAGAAACTGGGTGATTTCTGTGTAATTACCCTCATCCCTAATTATCTTTTAATATCTACCAAATTACTTTTCATAAGAGTAAAACGCACAAATTTTAAATCAAGCAACTAGCAGTATGTTTTGTCTAGGTAGTAAAAACCCGATTCATACTGCATAATGCTGGAAAACAAAATAACTTTACTAATACTCTGATAAAAGGCTACAAGACTGAAGGGTATCGCTTTCTCTTCAGGGGCTACGTTACCTCAATATTTGGAATTTTGATTTTTAGTTCAATCGATTTCAGCACATATGAGGTATTACATTTAAATTTTTTATGCTTAAAAAACAATTATGGAGGCAAAGTCTGACATTAAAAATTATACGTCAAACATATTACTATTTAATCAAAATTTAGAAATATTTTATGTGATAAGAAGTGAATGATTATAAGAAAGTAATTGCAGTTTATCTTCATTACAAAACTTTCTCACTTCTTTTATTTTTGTAAATTTTTTTTTTGTAAATGTAAAATAATTACTTGAATCTAAAAATTGAAGCAATATGATCAGACGTCTCAACACAAAAATGAAGCAATAATTTTTAGAATTAATTTGAACATAATTATTTTTAAATTTATTTGTAGAGCCTGAAGAAAATGTATAAGAAAAGATACGGCCCATCTGCTTTCGGTCAAGAGGTGGTATTCTGCAGCATGGTGTCTTCGGTGGTGGCCCAGTCGTTTGCGTATCCTTTCGCTGTTATAGGCGTTCATTTACAGACTGTAGGTCTGTGTATTGGAGTTTAACACCGAATTTGTACACTTTTTTTTGTATCGTTTAGATATATTTCAATTTTTCAGGTAGGCCTGCCAAATGGAGAGACATTAGAAAATTTGTCTTCTCGCGAGGCGCCGAAGGTTTGTACAGGGGATTCGGCATAGCTCTTTTACGTGGTGTACCAACCTTCGCCACGGCGTATTTCTCATATGAACTAATTCTCTCCATGTTAAATGAACAAATGATCTGACACTCTTCCATCAAGTGTTTTGTTTTTGTGAATTAATAATAATATTGTTTATTAGCGATTAATTGAATTTCTCTCTATCTTTTTTTCAAAAAGAGTCAAGGTTGACAAAAATCTTGCTTTGAAAAGAAAAATTGAAAGTTTGTTTTGCAAATGAGCACCATCTCTCATCTTTCATAAGAAATAATTATTATATAATATTTATTGGTTTGCAATATTAGCTTGAGCTTATGACTTTTATGTCTTGTAGAATCATCAACTTCGGTTTTTTAGTCCTCGGTCTCCTGCCCATCACCGAAGTTAGTTTGTAGGGGCTGTCAACAGGCTAAGTCATTTCAGCCTCCAACGCTTGCGGTTTTTAAGCCCAACAAAAACACTAAAATCAAACGCGAGCCTCTTGCAAACTAAAAATCCTGGCATTTGAGGGGATAATGGCACGCAACCTTGAATTGGAAACTTAGATAAATTAAAGCTCGTGTCAAAATTTGGATACATCCAGGGATCCAAACACGATGCTAGGCTAGGTCATTGTAGGCTTGCTCATTCGTTCCTCATGGCTGGGGGGGGGGATCTTCCTTTTTGTGGAGAAGAATTGAACGTAAAGCAACTTTTGACCAATAGCAAACAATATGAAATTGCCAGTGCTTGCTATGATATCTTTAACAAGAAAAACACTTTACAATAAAATAGAAAATACTCTTAGCCTACAAAGATAGATAAGCTATTGACGTTTCTGAGAGCTACAAAATTTGTATACATAATATAGAATGAAACGGGATAGCTGGAAACTGTACTCTTAGTCCGGAGGTTGTGAGGTGTTGGTGGGAACAGTCCTGGTGCGTCTTTACCACCTGATTCTCAGCCTCCAAATTTTCGGTTTAATTGATCAAAGTGGTTGAGCGCCTTTATAAATAAAATTACGAAAAAGCCTAGACACACTTACACTCTCATTCTTAAATACATGCTTTTCTATGTATACTGGGTGATTATTTATAAACTACCCTCCTTTTATTTCTTTGGTTTGGAAATAATTTTACAAATAGGACTGGTCTTTACATACTTTTTTTTACGTAGAATCTGTATCTGATGTCATTTTTTTTTCAACGTACGGTACGTCCCCCGGGCTCTGCAGCTTTTTTTTTATGGGAAGGTATCATTTTGAATACGGAGTTAAATTCTACGGCATTTTTAAATAAGATTTTACTTCGGTCATTTTTCTTGTATTTTGGCGTTTAAGAGTTAAGTTTGAAAAAAAGTTGAAATTTTATTTAGCCCAATCGTCATTCATTTATCTCCTAGTAACTTCATTAAACTAATCCTAGGAAATTAGATTTTCAGAATGGGCACCGCCGATCTCCATACAAAGCAAAATCGTGTTATAGAATTCATTTCGCACTTCATGGAAGTATCCCGTGTTAAGCGATTGAGAGTTATCCCAATATCGACAATTGTGACGATCCATTCTTAACATTAGCATGAAATGAACCAAAACAAATTATCTCAATTCCTTAAAATCAACTCAGAGAAATTATGTGTGGTGTTTAATAACCGTTAGTCAATGACTCTCAAAACGACTCACAAGAAGGACACATCTACACGGAAAACAGGCACTTTGAGCCCTGAAGATAATCTCAAGATCGAAACGTTGGCACGATGAAGAAAATGTTTTTCTAAAACCTACCTCACACCAGTCCGCATCCCACGATGGGCGTGACTGACATTCTTAGCTAATTTCAGACATCATTTTTCTTCTACCAAAAGATCAATTTTCATTGTTGATAATTCGTTTCAAAGAAATTGTCAAGTGGATTTTCTAACTGTATCAAACGTTAAAATTGAACGATTATTGCCATTTAAAAAACGAGGTTAATTCCTATCAAAAATATTTTATTTTATGTATTTTCTTATAAAAATCGTTTGTATATTTTTATGGTATATACGTCGTTAAAAAAATACGTTGCTCTTTTTTCAAATGGAATGTTTGACGTTAAAATCCTTTTAGTCAGAGAACATCTTTTTAAAAATCGGAAAAATTTTAAAGGTCAAGAAATCTATTCGGACGAAAATTGTATTTATATGGTGTTTCTAGAGGCGCTAAAATGAAATTTCATATTAGTTTCACGAAAAAAATTATGACCTAGTTTACTTAAAAAATATTTGGTTTTTAGCAGATTGTTGACTATTGATAAACTCTGATAGCTTTTACTATATTTTTATTTCTATCTACATAAAAAATGCTGTAAAATGATATATTCGCATATTTGATTTGAGAAAGGAGAACGTCGAAATAAAAATATTAAAACAACGTAAAATTTCAACTTTCAAGAAAAAAGATCTTTCGCGAAACCAGGTCCTCTTCACAAGAAATGGCGGATACATGCCCGATATTTTGGATCAGCATCATTTCTTCAAGAGAAATTCATCGGGCCTCTAAAAAGGACACCATGTATAAGTAAGTAAAGTAGGTAAGGAAATGGGCAAATCTTGGATTTGACCTCCTTGTCGTGATTTTAGTGTTATAAAATCCTTAGATACCGAATTTCTCGTAAATCGGTGTAAATTAATTTTTTAAGTGATAATTTCGACGACCATGGCTGACATTTCTAGTGCAAGCTCTGACATCCTTTTTTTCAATACCTGGAAGACCGATTTTCAATGGTTGATATTCGTTTTAAAGAAATTGTCAAGTGGATTTTCTAACTGTATCAAACGGTAAAATCGTACTATTATTTCCATTTAATTAAGGTTAATTTATATCAAAAATATTTTATTTTATGTATTTTCATATAGAAATATTTTGTATATTTTATGGTCGTTAAAAAGCTACGTTGCTCTTCTTTCACATGGTATGTTTCACGTTAAAAACCTATTATCCGTTTAAATCAGATATTCTGAGAACGTCTTTTAAAAATCGTAAAACTTTTAATTAAAATAATTAAATTCAAAAAAACAATTTATATTTAGGGGTCCTAGCGTTGCTAAAACGAAATGTTATATTAGTTTCACGAGAAAAAAAAATTATGGCCTAGTTTACTTAAAAAAATATTTGGTTTTTAATTTTTTTTTTCGTTATTGATAAACTTTAATAGCTTTTGCTATATTATTGTTGATAAAAATGCTGTAAAAGTATATATTCCCAGAGTTGATCTGAGTAGGTAGAACGCCGAAATAAAAATATTAAAAACGGAAAATTTCAACTTTCAATTTCTTTGTTGAGAAACCAGTGCCTTTCACAAGTGGCGGACACGGGTGGATATAGGATATTTTGGCGTGTAGAATCACTAAAAAACTTTGGTGTAAATCCTTATCCCAACCTGGTCATCCCCTTTATATACATTGTCAACATCCTATAAAGTCTCAACTCACTTAAAGGCGAAGAAGAACTCAGGAGAGCATCAGGTACAATAAAAGTATACAGATGGTTCCAAAACAAACGGGGGAACCGGATCGGGTATTTTTTCCACAAGCGCAGGATATGAGCAATCAAACTCATTGGGGAAGAACACTTCAACAGAAATACATGCCATCAACGCTTGTGTCCAAGAAAATCTTAAAAGAGGTTACATTGGCAAAAAATCCTCATAAGTCTGACAGCCAAGCAGTTATTAAAGCATTAGCACGTAAAAAAATCATATAAAAATTAGACAGTGAATGCATCCAAAATCTCCAACACTTGGGGAAACGCAACAACCTGATGATATCTTGGGTGCCAGGGCAAAGAGGAAATTTGGTATCGAAAAGACAGGCAGACCCACTGGGCAGAGGAGGAGGAGCAAGACCATAGGCCCGAACCTATACTTGGGATAACAAAATCAAACATAGAATCATCCATCGCAGAACGGTCCCAAACAAAACAAAAAGAAAATGAATAAACACTAGCGGTGCTAAACTTATGATGAAACAACCCTCACCAAGACTGGCAAACTGTTGCAATTGGAGAGGGCTAGACGCAGTGGAGTGATAGGACTATTAACCTTTCACTGGCACCTGAGAAAACATACACAACATGGGCATATACAACGATGATACCATCTGCAGATGCAATGAAGAGGCGACAGCCACCCATAACACCTTCGACCGCTCAACGGAGATTTAAACTAACATATAGAAAACAAATATGGAATGAAATTGTACCAGCGACAGCCAATGATCTGATCTAAGAAGAAGGATTGAGTCTATTGCGCTGAACTAGGGAACTAGGAAGGTAGAATAAGCCTGAATGCTGCAGTGCCTGGAGAGCACAAACCCCGCTTCCTAGTATCCTCATTACCCCAGAGGTAAAGCCGGGTTATAAAGCTAGTCTAAATATAAAACTCAAAGGTAGAAACTATAAATCGAAGAATTAAGATGAAGAAACATGAATTGGCCGGACGGCATAGTAAATCATAATGGCTGAGAAGGAATGTCAACGAAACCATTGTACAAATAATCATAAAATTGAATTTGTGGAATCATGGATTATACGGAAAGACTGACCTGGAGAATGTAGATGAATGACACGATGGGACGATCGTCAGGTGTTTCCTCTGTAGAATGGGTCCACAGGCAATGCGCTCGTCGCCAATATTGGACAACAATCAGAAGATCTCAGGAGATACTTTGATGTACTTTGGCACTGGAAAAGCTGCATCCGCTCGGTCCGGAGGACGGGAACAAAGCGAGACCGGGCGTCGCCATCGTTAACAATTAACCGACAGTCCCGCCTCGATCAGTGGCGGGCTGATTAAAGCAGAGCACGACTGCCACCTTGAAACATTTCCCATCCGTCCTCCCCGTTCAGACTCATCCCCCCCTAAAAAATTCAAATAACTAAGTACTAAACAGTTGTTATTAACGGTTTTCGCACGTTCAAAATTGAGCGCCAATAAAAACCGACTTTTCGTTTGAATTTCGCGTTGGCGGTGGATCGGCATTCGCGGGTTCACTCTTACAAAATGTCGAGACGTGCTTGTAACTCCTTCAACCTGATGATGAACTTTAAGCATGAAATCCGCATCATTGAAAACAACAAACTGTGAGTAACAGCTATGTTTTTAAAGAGATTGCATGCCCTATTCTTAATCGGGTAAGTATGAATGGCTTCTGAAAATTTCATAGTTTTGAGACTGCCCTTCTCAAAATCACAGATGATATTCGCCTAGGTATTGATGATAATAAGTGTACTATTACTGTTCTACTTGATTTTTCCTACACATTCGGTTCCATAAATCATAATTTGCTTATTCGGAAAATGACGCATCTTTTTGGTTTTCTTCTACTTCTATTAATCTGACAGAACTCAGAGAGTTAAAGCTTCAAATTCTCTCTCATTTTGAGCTGGTTTACACCAAGGCTCTATTCTTGAACCTTTACTCTTTTCCATGTTTCTAAATGATCTTCCATTAGTTCTTAATTTCTCCCAATTTCATCTTTATACTGACACTTAGCTTTATGTTCAATGTCCTACAAGCAACATCTCTGAAGCTATCTCATTGCTCAACTGTGATCTATCAACCAACGGTCAAGAAATAACGGCATTCTTCTAAACTCTAACGAATCCCAGTCCTTATTGATTTCCAATAAACCCATTAGTACAGATTGCCTATCCCCTTCTCTTATCAGTGGTTCCCCTATTAATTTTTGTCCTAAAGTTAAAAATCTTGGTGTTATTTTTAACTCCAACTTTACATGGCATGAGCTCTATTATTAAAAAGATCTACTCAAGCCTCCATTCTCTTCAATGCCTTAGCATTTTCACTCGACAGAAAACTAGACTTCTCCTTATTAAATCCCTAATAATTCTTTTATTTTCTTGATTATCTCTTATTTCACTTTCCTTTGACTTTCAATCTACTTATCGCCTTCAAATTGGTCGTAAACCAAGGAGTCATATTTCTTCCTATATTAATTTCTTCAGCAACCTTACATTCTAAGCACTACTTATAAACTTAGAATTATAATATATATATTTAAAATTAAGATGGCAGCTTCAATGGGCCGAATTGATAAAGAAGTCCACGTGTATCAACAGCACTGTCAATGGGTGGCCCTCGGAGGATCTGACTCATAGAACCCTCATTAGATTAAGAATGAACCATGCGAGGTTGACACATGGACACTTTCTTTTGGGCCAAAGCCCGTGTATGTATCCGGCATGCAGAGAAAGGTTGCTTGATGTGTCCCACCTAATTGAAGGGTGCAATTCCTTGGCTCCCATAAGAGAGCACACAGGAATGCCACCCCATTTGAGAATTGTGCTTGATCATGGCAGCGAGTATTTGGGTCCCCTGTTCCAACTCTTGGAGGAAACGGGATTTTTCTACTATACATATTAATAATAGTTGTGTGATAGATATTGAGGACATTTATTTGATTTAATTTTAAATATTTGGATTTGTATAGGCCCAAATCCGCACATGTACATCCAAACATTTGCTGAGTTGGGCCTATTGCCTCCTCATAGTCCACTGGTATACAACTAGCCTTATTGAGGGTCGATGGGGTACTCAATATTCCACCGTTAACCCTCTCACATCACAAATTCTCGCTAATAAATACATTCATTCTCAACACAAATTAAATATACACAACTATTATTACTATATAATAGTACAATCCCGCTTTCTCCAAGAATCAGAAAAGGGGACTCAAGTACTTGCTGCCGTGCTTAAGCTCACTTCTCAAATCGAGTGGCATTTCTATGCACTCTCTATATGCGTTAGACGGAATTACACTATATTCAACCATTGGTTCTCACATTACATATTCTGCTAATTAATACACTCATTCTCAATATACACAAAAATATGTCAGTATCACCACCCTGATTCTTCCAAAATCACAGAGGTCTCAAATACTTTTTGCTGTGCTTAATGATTTGTTATTCTTATATCCATCTTATCTCCCTAAACCCTTCAATTAAGTGACATCCTTTCATGCTACATTGCTTTGGCTGAAGAGTAAATGTGCGTTTGTCAAACTTGTAGAAATGTTAGCTCCATCTACACACATTCACATTAACAAATACCTTCACTCTCATTGTATACAAAATGGAACGCAAAGTAAGATATTTATGACTAACAGGTGCTCTATATATTTGCCGCTGTGCTCAAGCTATTTCTCATATTGACTTAATACAGGTTTTATGTCTCAGTAATGAATATTGCAGGCAATTTTTTATTCTATTTTTTTAATGGCCACGGATTATTCACTGACATCTAACAGATAGTCATAAAATATTTTATCGCATAGATTACTTAAGAGTTATAAAAAATCATAAACACATGTAATTTCATATTGTTAATTTATAAATTGCATACTATTCTAACAGTTCCGATAATCACTGAAAAATAATTTCCACTTGCTGTTTTGAAAAATCACCTACAAATTATGTAGTTACTGTTTCGTGGAATATCTCCAACACACTTTCATAGCAGACATATGCGATCGCATATGATGGAACAATTTTCAACAATGCTGTTGTAAATCCTCGATACATTCCAAATGGCCCTCTGATTTTCAAAAGCTCTATATATTTCAACATGTTCTCTTTTTCTGAAGATAATAATTAAATTTATATTAATAATTATAATTTCCTATTAAATTCTTTTTTGAAATATATTTTTAATTACCTGAGGCTTGCCTATGGGTAGTTAGAACACCAAAGGGATAAGCTCCAATTAACGCCACAGATGACGAACACAAACCACTAAACGTTATTGTCATTTTATCAACAGATTCGGGAGAAGATAGTAGAACTCTTTTACAAGCCTAAGACAAAATATTATTTTCAATTAAAAACAATTATATATTACCTTATTAAATCTCAATCCATACATGATACACAGCAAAATCGATCGAAGTGAACAACATTTTTCCTAAAATCGCAGGAACTAAACCTAAGTATGCAAAGGACCAGCCGTATGTTTTATATCCCTTCTTTATTTGGCCAAGAACTCGAGGAGATTCTGATGATTGCCTTAATACTAATTTTGTTTTTATGACCTGGAAAAGAAGGAAACTTTTAAAATGAACTCAACAATAAATCATTTTATATTACCTCTACAGGGTGAACAATGACCTGAATAAAAGTTCCGGTCAGGGCACCGGCAAATAAGGTCTCTTTTAATGTTGGTCTTTTATCTGATTGCATTAAACATAGCAACTCATTAAAAAATACAAACTTTAACGTTATTTCCGGCACCACTTTTATTAGGTTTGCTCCGTTGCCTTTAAATATAATCAACATTTTAAAATTATTATCTGTCTGTTATATATTTTTATTGTTTGACAGACCCCTCCACATGCTGGCGTATCCTCCTTCTTTTATCATCATGGCAAACCCATCGCTTAGTTTTATTGTTCTCCCCTGGAACTAAAACTAAAATGTAATTGTTATTCTTCCACAGTTATTATAAAAAAACATATATTTGCTTACTTGAGCCATTGTCTTCAAACGGTCCAAAGGGGCCGTAAGTGTCCGGGAGACAAACCCAGCTGTTGCACCAGCTATTACATTGTACCATATTCGTTCTAATTTGCTGTTCAATTTGTCATCCTTTTCTACAATTACAAGTTTTCTTTCAATTGTTTGATTATGCTGTTGTAAGTGCATACAATTTTGTTATTGCACATTATTATTCCAAGCAGGCTCTTTTAATCCAATTTCAAATAAGTCAAACAATTTTTCTGTTTATTTTCAAATTAGAACTGGATTATCCAATTTAAACAGATTATCAAATTTAACCCAAGGATTATTGTTTGTGTCATGTCATGTTGAGAAAATGTTAAAATAACCAAGTGCACTAACTTTACTCATAACTACAATTGTCCAGACATATACAAAGAAGAAAGAAGAAAAACTGACCACTTCTACAATCAGATAAAAGCTCATCATTTTTTTCTGTCATTTCATAGCGTCATCTCCAGTGGGGAGGGCATTGTATGTCTTGCTACATCCTGTATTTTGTGTCGCTTTCTCTATGTTATCACTTTCTGTTTAAAACACAAAATATAAAAGACACTGCAATTTAGATAACAATTTTATGAAGTTGATTTTTGGATGACAGCATTATCAGCTGTTTAATTTTGAGTCAAATTTCTATTCCATATTTTAATACCACTGAAATCCAAAGGCAAAATTTGTAATATTTCTTTAATTTAAAATAAATAAATGTCTTTATTTTTACATTTACAAATGCAGGGTGTCAACGTGCTAGCGTTCCTACTCCTAAAAACTACTCAACTTAGACAAAAAATGCAAACAGTCTTTTTTAGAATAAGTTCTAGGTTCAAACATTGCAATAGTTAGTTTTTTTAAATTTCTAAAATGTTAAAAAATTCATTTTTTTTTTTTACAAATCGTAACTTATTTGCTTGTAAAAACCTATTTTTCAGACAATTTTTTTCCTTTTACCTCCACCGAAAATTAATCATTAGGTTTTCGTTGCTTGCCATACATTGGTGAACTATCAGAAAAAGTAGGTACAATTCTTAAGGGAGAAGGTTTTAGAGTAGCTTTTGGAGGTGCCCTTGTTCACTTAGAAACATCCTCTGAGACAAGGTTGACAATATGTCAAAAAGCAGAGTTTACAAACTTACTTGTAATGAATGTGATATTAAATATATAGATGAAAGTGGCAGAGGAATTAAAACAAGAGATAAAGGAAACTTGCCTAAATCAAACAGTTTTTCTAAATTTAAGGACCATCTATGAAACAAGAAAATTTAAATACAACAATGTTACACCATGACCTGTGGAGGCTGGGCTTGAAGGGAAAAGGTGTCAGGTTGCGCATTGGTCATACTAAGATTAAACACAGACACCTTTTAATGGGGGTGAGATCATGAAGATGTCTGTGGTGTGGAGAGTTTATCACGGTAGAGCATATAATAACAGACTGCAAAGAACTGTGTCAGCAAACAAAGAAATATGACATCCTGAATAACCTCTTTTCGGCCTTGAGTCACGGCAGTAGGCACAGATCACTGTTCCAATATCTCAGGGAAATATTTTTATGTTCATGTATGTGATATATGTTATTTATTGGAACGAATGAGTTTATTTGCATGAATGGAGGGGTTTATCCCCCAAATATCCCAAGCAATATCAAGTACTCTGGAGTAGAGTGAATGAATGTGTGAGTGTAATCTATTAGCAACTATGTACATGTGTGTGAGTTGAATTCTAACCAACTAGTCCTTACCACGCTAGCGGTTCTGGTTCAAATCCCGGCAGTGCCCATGGTGTTTTTAATGGATTATAGTATAAAAATGTATTGTAAAGTGGTTTGATCCTTTGTTCACAACACCTAACGGGTAGTTGAACATTGAGTACTGTTTACAATGAGTTGAACCTATGACTATTCGCTTAAACATTGTTTATCTACTCTATGTTGCATCAAGTATGAAAAATCATTTTACAACACCCTCAGATTTTTAAAATTTAGTATTTTCATTAAATTGCTTCATTTTCCACGCCAGCCAACATAAGTTATGAGTAAATATAAAGTACGTGGCAGAAATTCCAAGGGAAATTCAGAATCGCAATGCCAATTGAGTCACAATATCTTTATTGTAATATTAGTAATTATCATTCAATGTTAAAATTTTCTTTTAACAAATGATCCAGAATGAGGTTGATCCCTGATCAACTAAAATATAAAGTTAACTTTTTTTAGTCTTCTCTTTGTTAACTCTTATAAGAATAATTATCTATGAAAATGTTACTATTAGAGGTTAACTATTTTAAAGGATGCAGATAAAATTACAAATAACTTTTTTTAACTATTTAATATACAAAATTATGTACAATCGCTAAAACTATAACAACTGGTTTATGAAGCTGATAATTGTTTAGATCTGAAATTGTTGTTTGTTGACAGTCGTACATCAAAGGGAAAAGGTTTTTTGTTAGGAGTCACTCCCCACATCCTCCACAATGAATCACAAGCAGCCATGTCCTGTGCAATTTCAATGCTTTCTCCACAACCTGATAAATCAATCATTATTAGCATTCAGAAATGTTTTTATTACTACATATTACTCTTTTTTATTATTAATAAAGACCTCTTCCTATCATTTGCCGATCACAGTACATCCCGACTTCATAATTGGCAAGTATGCTGTTTTTACCGATGGCCGAAATAAGCCTTGGTTCAAAAGGTGGCATGCCTCTTTCCATCAAACTTTGTGACAATTCTTCCAAAGGATTGTCAGGGGTGCACATAGGCGACAAATCTTTAGTCGCGATTTGTGTCACGATGAAATCTCTTATAAATAAAGAACTTCTGTCTAGCCCACTGCTCAGCGCTAAAGCTTGAATGACACTTTTCAAACAGACAGCAAGTGTCTCCTCTTTTGGCGGAAAGTCCTGCAAGAAAAAATTGTTATTAATTAAAGAACCTGTAAGTAGACATTTTGGTTGGCTTTTCCTCTGACTGCTGCATTTTGCCATACTCAATTGTGGATTAGTGCAACAGGCCAAATTTGTGAGGATAGGAAAACAATCAAAAACAATAATTTAAAAAAAAAAAACTTACTTCACATAAGACCAGGTCATTGATCCCGATATGGTTTGCAACATAAGCAAGGGTGCCAGTGCTTAAAAGAAATTCTTGAATTGTTCTAAAAAAATATTATTATTTTATTACTTATTACACTTTAATTAATTATATTAATTACTCAATATATTTATTAGGTAGATAGGGTAACGTGGTTGTCAAATATTTATTGATGTAGTCTTGTATTAAAGTTTCTCCCTCTTCGGCCATGTCCATATTAGATTTGATGTTCGTCTCTGCCTCCAGGCCAACGGATTTTTGCTCTTTGGCCAACTTTTTAATGTAGGATTCATCTAGGAGAGCTTGCTTCAGGGCACTCTGGTCAAAATCCTCTCCGAGCCTTTTCCCAAAAGCATATATTTCAGCATTGTAATTCCTAGAAAATGAAAAATTGAAAATGGTGCGTTTTTTGACACCATTACAAGGTTTGTTGTACACACGTATATACAAAATTGATCGAATATTGTATCTTGACAATTGACAACTTTGGGTTTCCTTGGTTAATCTTTCTCTCTAAATGGTTATAGAAATATAGGAAACTTGGGAAAAAAGTTGCAGTTTCAGAAATTCAAGTTCTTCTAATTTGAACATTGATAGTATATTGCAACCAAAATTAGGTCTCTGTAAAAATTTCCTACTACCTACATCTGGTTAAAATGTACATAGAGAGCCAAACGAAAAATTTGTCTCTGGAACAATATTGTAGACTTTGGGCTTCTTTAGTTTATCTTTCTGCCTAAATGCTAAAACCTAGGCTAGGTCAAATGAGTGATTTTGGAAGCTCCATTTGTAAAAGTTTCTCACCACTGATGTCATCACCCTGCTTATTTAATTGTTCATGATATAATTGTACAAGTGATCCTAACCCATGACAGTCATCAGTCATGCCTAGTAACCAAAGAAGTAACAAGTCACTCAAGTGAGGACACATGAGTTGCTAGACTATCTTGATAATTGAACAATTGCATATAGGCAAGAAGAAGGCAAATCATGCAAACAGGAATGCTTTTGAAACACAATTTCAGAACTTTTTTTTTTGGGGGGGGGGGTTATCTTTCCATTTAAACACTAGTCCTTATACCAAAGTTCCTAACTCCCCCCCCCAATCCGGCTTCGGAAATGGTTCAAATTACCATTGACTTTCACATCACAATGGACCAACCAAAAGTTACTATCTTAATACTTCTTGTTTCACCAAAGCCTTTGATTCCATCGTTCATTCATCACTAATATCCAAACTCGAATCCTTTTCTTTCTTCAATGGCACTATCCGATGGTTCTTATCTATCTTACCGGACCTTCCTAGCATCCATCATCAAACAAAATTCCTCTGTTAAAATTGCTTGCACAAGAGATCGTTACAAAATCAGTCATGCTTAATTTCTACAACAAGAAATCTTCAAGTGTGGACCTATACACATTGTCCAGTTACATCTAAAGGCAGTCGTTATGTTTAGACTTGCTTGACTTTGGTACAAGTGGGTACATTAAGACCATACCATTCAATGAATGTGCTCCTATTCACTGGTGGTTCAGGCCCAAGGCTGTCTTTCTTTTTCTTCAACACCCTCAATGTGGGAGCGACCCAGCGATGAAACTCCCGTTGGCCTGCAAATAAATAAATAAAATAAAATCATTTAGGTGTTATTGCTAATTGTTAGGAATTATGCTACAATTTAGAAATCATAGCGAACATACTACCTTGAAGATTATTACGCAGCAAGCAAGTTGCGGGTTTAATTAAATATTTAAGTCTCAGGCTCATCACAAAAACTTGTTACACAAAATACCCACAACAAATGTTTAAAAAGTTAAATAGATAAGTACGCCGGAAAATGTAAAAAGGTAACAACATAAAGTTACATCGAGCCTGAAAAACACATTCTTCTCAGGTTGACCCGTGATAATTTTCATGACGTCATATAATGAAATTGGATAGTTTAAAACTGCTTAAAAAAATTCTCAAAAGAAATATTACAACATTTATGACACAGGTCATACATGCAACATAAAAAATTAAAAATAATGTTGTACGAGATAGAAATGTTTGTACTAATTTTTTGCTTTGGTCTGCCCCATTTACTCAGAATTGAATATGGCGAGAAGCCGTAACGTGTTTGACGGATTAAAATGATCAAAAATGACTGCAAGTTTGTCACGCCACAAGCCCCAAGTAGAAATCTAACAAGGGCTGTAATTTCTTATGCACAATATTAGACGAAGTTGAGCAACCTTATTGTTTAGAGATTATATGTAGATGTTAGGTAAACAAATAGACGAAAAGTTATAACTATCAAACATACAATCAGTAAATATTTTAACCAGTGATTTTATATAAAAGACACAAGTTGCTACATTAATGTTACTTTTTTTTAAATGGACTAATATATCTCTTTAAAAAAACTGATGTTTTTAATGTCTGCTTAAAGTTTGTTGCTAAATGTTTTAAACACTAGCAATTATAGCTATTAATAAAAATGGCCAACCGATATAATCAGACATTACATGTTCCAATGCAAAATCCCGTAACCTTTTCACGGATAAATGGGATTTTGAGGTTGTTGTGGATGATAGCATTGGAGGTAATATAATACGGAGCTTTTATTGATCTACGATTTGTAGGCTGAAAGGATTGGAGATGTTGGTTATTGGAGGGTTTCACGGTTCCCCAGTTATGCTGTATGACCGAGGATGTAGTTGCGTTTTGCGAATTGTATGTTTTTACTTTTCTCTTCTTTGTTATTATTATCTTTCTTTTTCCTTTTATAGTCGAAAATTTGCTTTTATGCAAACCTTATTTTGAATTTTTTTAAATAAAAATTTCGGTTTTTTGACGTGTCGGTGATCAGTTGCCATTTACAAGAGCATATATTTTTTATAGGATTGCCGAAACGTCGAAAAATCACAATTAAAAAAAAAAAGATTGTAAGTTAACCTCTTACAATGATTGTGAGTTTGTTTTTCGTCGATAGCTTGAATTGTTGTCTTATAAATTTGGAAAAGTAGAACACCCCGTCTATTTAGTTTTGCCTTTTCAGTCGCGTATGTCGATTCCATATAAGGCTAGGTGGAACCAAAGTAACGAACGCAATCAGATTTTGTGACAGGAACATTGTTGTAGTTGATTTTGAGAGTTAGTTTTCGGAGAGTTACTATTTTTTTTTTAAATTTTATTTACTATTACGAGAAATCCTTGTGCCACATCAAGGAAGGCATACAATATTTGCGCTCGAGGAAAGAAGATATTTTGTACTTTTTTATTAAGTGCCTAGCTGAAAAAAAATTAATTGAATTTTCGAAAGGTCTGTAAAGATCGGGATGTAGATTAATTTACTATTAGACGCAATGACTTTGAAGAATCCTAGTCGATCCATTGAAACGAGACATCTTTTATAATGGTACTGCCTAGATGTTCGCAGCAACAATGATTAGAATTATACACTACCTTTTCTTAAATCATGACTTGGAAGTTAACAGTTTGAAATCCCAATCGAAGCAATAATTAAATGTAAAGTAAATATTAGAACAACAGAGAATCAGAAAACATTTTTACAAACTTCGAATTACTTAGGAACATTTTATCTTTCTACTCTAAAATAAGTTTATTTTGCCTTAGCCCAATCCGTCTAATTATAAACAGGAATATATAACACAAAGTTACTACAGAAGTAATTAAAAGTTCTAATTTAAAATAATTATTGATATAATGTTCATGTCCTCAAATGTTTAAATATGCATTATTTCATAAACCCTTAAACTTACATTACAGATTGAACTATTGACATGATTTATCAACAAAATTCAATTCTTACTATAATTTTACTTTTAACAGGGCACTTAAATATATTTATAAAAGTAGAATTAATACAGTAATTTCAAAATTTTATTCAATTACAAAAAGTTTATACATTCATACATCCTTGCCTCGAGGTTAATTTTCCTAAAGTTTTGTTATAATAAAAAGTCAATTTTAATTTTAGAACTCCTGCTATCCACCACAAATATTTATACTTTTGAAAAGCAGGCTGTAATGGAAGAATAAAAAATTACTTTCATAATTATGAGTTATTTTTTTATTATTCGATTTCGAATTCCAAAAGCTGTATTTTTTAATTTCGCATTTTGGCGAAATAAAGAGTTATTTCTTTTTATTATTAAGGAGGATTAAGAAAAGCTGCTTATCAGTTTACAATACTTTCTCATTTTAAACTTTCTAAGTAATGTTTAATAGCAACAATTTTAAATAGAAGTAAACTGTCTTCATATTAGATGTTTTAGCTTCCCGAATGCATAATATAACTGTTTATCAATGAATGGCATCAAACAATCCGTTGAATTTGGCAGAAAAATCCCACTATTTGGTAGATTCAATAAACATTATTCATGAATAATCAAAGAAATTCGAAAAATATTTGACACATGTCGCGTTTTCCCAATTAGCCCTCAGAGCGTAGAAGAAAAGGCTCTTTTTTTTAACTTGATTTTCTACCTTTGCAAGTATTTCAAGGCTAATACATATCAGTCGATTTTTTCTTTTATGTAGAATAAGAAATTAATATGTAGGGTTGTATATTAAATATATATACCAAGTTACAAAAATGAAAAGATGCTTTCAGTGAAAAAGCAAAAAAAAAAAAAATTCGTTTTAATCCCTGTCTAAAGCCGTTCACAAGTTTATTAGACTAATTCAACTAGATCTCGTGTTTAAAGCCGGTATTGTATGTGCGAAAAACTAGAATGAAATCAACAAAAACTATTTATATTTCCGTTTTGTTTTATCTAAGCCAGGTATACGCTTTTAAGTTATAAGTAATGCCATTAAATAAGTTATAAGGTTCTAAACCTCCTATGGTTCGTTGGAATCGTTTCAAAGTAGTCACAAGTTTTGTAAGTTTTGAAACAGGTCACAAGCTCGGTCGGCGAAACATTTTATATAATTTTTTTCTCCTCCAAAAAATTTTACGCTCAACTACTCGAAAGAGTTTAAATTCAAAATATCTCTGTGTCACCGACAGGAAAAGTAATACTTCTCAGTACATTCTCGCCTTTGACATCTACGGATTTGGATGTACAATATCCACTAACATATAACAATGACGATGGGTAGAAGCCGGAATGCGTCTGGCAGATCAAAACGCAAGAATAGACAGATCATAATTATCGGTAGCGGCCAAAAAACAAGAAAGATTATTTTGAAATTGTGCTTTTTCTTAGATGGTACCGTTATCAACACTTAGTTTTACACTCGACGACTCGATATAGTTAAAGAGTAGAAGAAATAAATAACACGCTCCTGTATATTATTCGAATTTCATTCAGGCAGAAATGAAAAGAGCCAGCAGTCGCTTCTCCCTGCTTATATCCCTGTTTTCAGTCTTCTTGTCATTATAATAAATCCTTCCTATTTACTAACGTCATTTTTGGAAATGTTACAATTAAACTAAATAGGACATTGACAGTCTTTTCCTTGCGCCTTCTGGTCTTCGACAAAATATACGGACTTGAATGTACTATTCACAATAGCGAGAAAGTCGACACGCGTCTGACAGGCCAAAACTGCATGTATTGTCGACCAAAATGATCGGAAACGACCAAGCTGCAATTAAAATTAACTGTATTTAAAAGTTATTTTACACGTAAGTTTATTCTTTGATGGTACGACGCTTAACAATAAGTTTTACACTTAGCTGTTCGATGTCTTTCAATTTAACAGCTAAATTTCTTTTAGTTATCGACAAGAATTAAGATAAAATGTTTTTGTTCATTGTTCAGATTTTACCAGAAGAAAGGATAAGAGCCTTGCTTCTTCCTGCTTATTACCCTCTCTTCACCTAACTGCTTATCTTTATAATAAATTCTTTATATTTACGTGAAAAATAGCCAGCTTCGTTGTTTCTGAACGTTTTAGCTATTAAAGGTTGATGACAGACCAAAAAAAGGGTGGATAGGTAAACCGACATGATCTATCTTACATTATCAAACTTCCTCACCCCAATATGAAATCTCATTACTTCTTCCCCACACCTTTTCCTGCTTTTTTTAAAGGGAAAATACCGACACGTTCGTCTTAAAACCATAAATTTGCTGTTTTGATTCGGTCTGTTTTAGCATTGTCACAAACTAAATAGCGTATTGTCTTATCATTACCGCTTCTCGACTTCGGCAAAATCTAGGGACTACTATATACAAAGACCCAGCACTGATGACGGCGAGAAGCCGAACGCATCTGCCAAAAAAACAGTACCGGTAGAACGGGTAGATGAAAATGGCCGGAAAATACCAAATACAAGTTCTTTTACTTATGTTTATTATTTTAACTTTTATAATTTATATATTTATTTTGAGTCAATTTATGCGAGATTAAGCATGTCTGTGTCTCGTGGCGCGACTCTGCGACTTATCCGTTAAGCGCAAGGATTTAAGATGGCCGAGCAGAGCGCAGCACTCGTAAACCCGCGGGGCTGTTATTAAATGGGAGGTCTCTAGATAATAAGGGGACTTGTAGAGAGGGAGGAAAAGAGAGAGAGAGATCGAGGCAAAAACATGAAAACTGGACGAAAACTGAAATTATCTAGCAATTTGAGTGGGTAGGGCAAAGAGGGGGCAGGATAAATGCTTATAGAAGTCAAGTATACGTCAGTCGAGAGAACGTCCATCCGCGGTTCGGTTGTTATGGTCAAGTGAGAGAGTACTACACGAGATCAAATTGTGGTTTGTGTGAGAGAAAACCGCCTGTCAGTGTTATTGTGATGGAAGAGGGACGGCCGAAGGAAGCGCGGAGCCCTCAGAATAACATCAGCGTAAGTGGTTCAAAAAAAGGCCTCACTACCCCCCAGACAGACATGATTTTTTATCTCTTAATTATATACGCTAA